TAGAACATCAAGGTGAAAATCAGCGCTGATGATAAAGCAGATTTGAAAAGAGAGGGAGAGAAGGCCTGTGGAGACATAATTCATTTATTTCACACTTTTGCTAGGGCCAGCTAAGTACTGGAACAGGAAATGGGGTTGGGGAATGAAGAAAGGAAGATTAATCTAGTACTTCCTGGTTCAGAGGTCAGATGATGCAGTTCATTGCGGAGGCTGAAAAAGCCATGGGCAATTAGTCTCAATTGCTTGTGGTTGTTTGCTTGTGGTTATACCACCTAGAGAAAACCACCCAGGATCTTTTTTTATTTTCAAGGGAATGAGCAGTCATCATTAGTCTACTATAGTCCAGTAGCAAAAAAGAAATTTTCTTTTTGCTTAAAGCTCTTCTTAAAAAATGTTTTTTGGAGTATGGTCCTCAATTTTACAGTTCTGTGTAGCTAAACCATTTTAGGAGTCATTCAATGCAGGTTGGCAATTTATTTCACAAAATACAACAGCGCTCAATTGTAATGCCAAGTTGAAATGAAGGGTTCTGTGGACCCTGGTAACAGCTAAAAATCACGAAGTGTAGTCATAAGCAGCATGAAGCCAAAAGCTAAAATATAAAGAGTCCTGTTCTCCTGATGAGGAATTTTAGAAAATTAGGACTGTGTATTTCGATAATGCGTGTGATTGCAGATAAATTTTTTATAATGTCAACTCAACGAGTTCTAGGTTTCATCTGTTTATATTTCTCCAAAATATAGGGTAGGTCATTGAAAGTAGTGATTTAAAAGTGCATCTTTTAAAAATTAGCATCTCTGAAATCAGGATATGTCTTAAAATAAACAGGGTCTTATATTAGAAGAAATAGGGTTGCCCTGCTGGGACTTACCAATCTCCCCTTTGCTCCATGTGCAGGACCCATTATTTCCAAATGCTGTGACATATCCTTTTCATTGACTTCTGGTGGTAGCATTTCTTGGATGCAAGGATGCTGGACCCTGATTCTTCAGAGGATAACAGCTGCCCTGGGTCCTGTGTTCTTGACCTTTGCCTTGATACACCTGCCATCCCTTGGTCTTCACGGCACATGTGTGAAGAGTAGCCCTGGACTGAAGATGTCCCTAGGTCGTGGCAGGGAGAGACCAGGTGACTCTCATGGAAGTGCTCTTCAAAGAATGCAGTTGAACTCCTTTTTATGTTTCAGAAACACTTTACTCTGCCTCAATTTAAAAGTTTAGAATTCTGTTAATGTTGAGGACACAAGATATAAAAGGCTTTCCTGGGAAATTTCCCTTTGTGGCCATCAGCTTCTGTTTGGTCACTATGATGGGACCATTTCTCTTGCTAAGACAGTCTGCCCATTATTTGATAGATAGCAAGTTCTCCCCAAGAAAGCATACATATTATTTAGCTTAAAAGGAGTCTATGTGTTCCCAAGGTTATCGGCTTCCTGGGGGCCATCTTCCTTGCAATTATCAAATGCCCAGAATTCAAGATTTCATGCTGCATGACTGTGGGAGTCCTGTCCCTCCCTTAAATATTGTGGAGGAATCCTGGGAGAGCTTGCTTCCTTTTTGTTTCACTTCTTATTTCCTAGTCCACATGCTTCTGACCACATCCCTTATTTTCCATGTGCTGTCTTGGTGCTCCTCTCCAGGCTGTTGTAGCTCTCTCAGATTCACTCCATCTCACATTTGAACACTGATCCTTCCTTAATCCCCCCGTCAGGGCATCACTGGGGCAGTGGTGTTTAAAAAACCTCACTGAAGCTTTACGGGTGATATAAAGGGATTAGCATTCAGGAAGGACAACTTAAAATTGGATGCCAAGCCTTGCTACTCCTATAGTCCATCAGGCCCCTACAGGCTGTCTCCCTCTTTCTCTCCATGGGCTGCCATTTTGCAAGGCCCAATTCTCCTGCTTAAAGTCCTGTTCATCATTTCCTCTTCTCCCTGAGTCCCCAGGGCCACAGTTACCCCCACTCCCTTCTTCCCCCGACTTGCATCATAAAAGTATCTCAAAGATGTTTACAATGAAGTTAGCATTTCACATAAATAAGCAGAAAAGGTTATCATCTTTGTTTGAAGGATTGCATCCCAAAGTTCAAGGCTAGCACAAGGATGACAAATAGGTACTTGCCTTAAAATTATTCAAAGAAGTCAAGTAGGAAGCTTTTCCCAAGAACAAATTCTATCTTTACCTTTACAAGCAGAGGAAAGACATTTCTGGCATTGTAACCAAATACCAATGTGTTCCCAGTTCAGATTGTCAAAAGTTCAGAAACACTGGGGTCTGGTATGGGGCTTACCAACTGCAGGCTCTGTGTACTTCAATATTATGTTAATATTATCAATATAATTATTATGTAATTATATTACTATATCATGTTAACATATTAGTATTTCATTAAATTAATGTGACTATATTTACTATTAGATTAAATTTAAAGAGAGCTCTTATTTTGACTTGAAATAGTCTTCCCATTATTTGCCACATTTTAATTCTAGGTTTGCTTTATGAAATTAGGATTAGAACAAGTCAATCCCTTTTCTACATTAAAATATGATGAGGAGACTCTAGTCTCTTCAAGTCTTTTCAAGAAATTTAACCTAATGCTGTCACACAGGGCTTTGGGCTATTTGACACTTCGGTCACTAATCAAGAAAATGGAAACAGTTCAAATTAGGATTTGGGAATAATCAGAATCTTAGAAGCGAGGTCGTCTGTGGCCAGTTTATTGATATTCCTTTCACAATGTCCTTGAAAATGTAGAACTTTTTGTTAAAAAAAAATTAAAGATCTATTTCCTGAAGAATTCTACTGCAGTCTCGTAAAGCTCATACCACAACCTTTATCCCTTACCTTTGATAAAGGAAAAAAAGAGATGCCTAAACTATAGCTTAGTAAAAGTTATTATAGTGCTTTCACATGATTTTGAACTATCTGAAATTTGTAAGATGTAAATAAAAGATTTTATGATTTTTCCTAGCTTGAAAAAGACTGCAGGTCCATAGGCTTAGGTAAATACACAATAAAAAAGGGATGCCTATGGATCATTTATACATGTGCTTAATGTTTTAAACTGTGGGGTTTTCTATTTATTTTTTGTTTAGTGATTTTTAGCTAAAATTGACCATATATCTTTTAAGTTTGATGTTTTGAATTTTGTTGAGATGTTCTTTATAATACAGCATATGGGCATTTTTGGTAAATATTTCTCACGTGTTTACTACAAAGTTATGAGTAATGTAAGATAGTGTAGTGTAGTGTTGTTTATATGACAACTACTTCGTATTTGTTCATCATGTTGTTCCTATCTCTGTATCCTTTGGTCCCCTCATGTGTATTATCCGTACCTAAGAGATGTTGTTAAAAATCTCTATGATTGCACATTTGTTCATTTTTCCTTTTAGTTTTGTCAATTTTTGCTTTATATATTTTGAAGCTATGTTATCAGGTGCATACTATTTGTTTTATCTTCCTGTTGAATTGATCTCTTTTTTCATAAAAATGCCTCTTTTTATCTCTAGTAGCATCTTATTTTAAAAAACTACTTTAGTACTAATATACCAACAACAGCTTTTGGAGTGGGGGTCAATATTTATTTGGTCTGTTTTTTTCTGTCCTTTTCTTTCAACTGTTGTATGTTCCTATGTATCAAGTTAATCTCGTAAACGATATTAGTTAGGTTTTGTTTTCTTAATGCAGTCATAATATTTTTTCATGGAAGTATTTGATCATTTTGCATTTAATATAATTACTGATATATTTTAATTTATGACTACCACTTTCTATTTGTTTTCTATTTGTCCCAGCTGTTTATGTTTCTTTTCCTGTCCTTTCTTGAGTATTTTGAAATTTTCATGTATTTTTATTATTCTGTTATATTCTTTATCAATTTTCTAGTTATATGTTTTCTACTATTATTTTATTCTCACTCTAATGATTACAAGGTGCATCCTTAATTTATTAAAGTCTAAAATAACTTAGTAGTAACAAATTAGTAGTACTGTATTAGTCTACTTCCTGGACAATGAAAGCACATCAGAAAACTTTAACTTTTAACATTTGTGACATAATTATCTTTTGTATTATTGTTATTGTATATTTAATTTTACTTGTATTTTAAACTTTATAAGACCTCATTGTTATTGCTTTATTCAGTTAGTTTTCATTTGTATTTCTTCACATTTTATACTTTTTACCTTTTATTTTTTCCTACATTTCCATACTTTAGGCCAAGATTATATTTCCTCTACCTGAAAAA